GCTAATGGTCACACAACAGAATATGCTGCATCTGTGAAAGGCCGGTTCACTATCTCCAGAGATGATTCCAAAAGCATGACTTACCTGCAAATGAACAGCCTGAAAGTGGAGGACACGGCTGTGTATTACTGTACCAGAGACACTGTGAGGGAACTTCAGTGGTAGCCCGGACACAAACCTCCTGCACGGGTGCTCAGGAGAAGAGAGCGCAGAACACAGGAAGCACAGGACAGTCAGGAGCAGAGAGCTCAGCACACAGGAAGCACAGGAAAGTCAAGCACAGAGAGATCAGCGCACAGGAAGCACAGGACCTCAGGAACAGAGAGGTCAGCGCACAGGAAGCACAGGACAGTCACGAACAGAGAGCTTAGCACACAGGAAGCACAGGACCTCAGGAGCAGCAGGCAGGGTCAAAGGCCGGCTGCCTGAGTGTTGGCGGTTCGTCTCTGTCCAACGGTGGTTAAGGATTGCTGTCTAGATTTAGGATCCATCTCTCCTGTGATGTCCACAACACAGCCAGTGCCTGCCTCCATTTTCCTCGCTGGTTAATCATGATGTAAAGGAGTTTCAGCATAGGAGCTCACAGGGCATGTATTACCCTGTAGGTGGATTAATCCCATCTGTTATTCTTTCCACATTCTCCTTATCCCTCTATTTTTCTACAGCATTTGTGAGCTGCCTTATACCATCTTCATGCACAGACACAACATATTTTCATATTACTTGATCTTGAACATACTCCAACCTCTTCTTCCTCCCAGACATCTCCCAATCATTCTAGTTTAGGATGTGTCCACTCAAAAGAACAGAACAAATGAGGCAGAAAGTGGATATTAAGTTGGGTCCAAATACTTGATACGCATGAATACAAATAGAAAATGGAACCTGATGAGGTTGTTGAAGGAGGGAGGGGAGGAGGTGGAGGCCGGAGGAGCTGCGTTTGTCAGGGGACACCATGTGCAGGTATGGAGAGTTATAATGTGGTACCTTGTACACACAGGTCAATAAACATGAATACAGAGAGTTCTGGATTCTGCTGTGAATTTAAAATGACAACAAACCTTGTCCCATGAATGAAACATACACCATCCTTGTGTTGACGGAGGTGACTGACTTGGTCAGCAGAATCTCATCCTGAGGAAAGTAGAGTCTCTGCTGAAGCCCCAGTGAAGCCCGGCAGACGTGTCTGGGTTTTTGTGGTCAGCACAGAGCTTGGAATGCACTTGGTGAACAGATTGGAACCGTGTCACTGACCATGAGCCTCACTGGTCTCTCGGCCTTTCAGGCCTGAAGAGCTGGACACATGGAGGACAGAATTTGACCCAACTGACTTTTTAACTAGTTTAGTTTCTCACCCAGTGACACTCATTCTCACACATCTCCTTCTCTGTCCACTGGACAATGGACATTGTGGGCGAGGTCCTGTAAAGCGCAGGCTCAGCCTCCTGTGTGGAGTTAGGTGGCAGCATGGTTCCGGGCTTTGGGAACAGATGGTGGGAATTCTCAGTCTATTCCCAGGATGTCTCCTGTCTGTGCAGGATCTCCAGAGAAGGACAGCTGGCAGCGGGGCTGTCACAGACTGGGTGTGACACGGGTGCAGTCACAGACCTCAGCTGTGGGCTCCACTCCCATGGAGTGGCCTGGTCTCCTGTGGTTCCCAGCTGACCGCCCTGGGCCCGGCTCTGGTCCCAGGAGCAGCTGACGGGGCTCACGGCAGCCTGGGCTGTGGGGTGGGGACGGTGACTGCAGCTGTGCGTGGCCACCGCTACAAGCCAACCTCTTATCTTTACAGAGATGTGCACTCACACGTTCTACAGAACAGGGAAAAGTTATCTTAGTGCTTCAAGGAGGCAAAATTACTACAGATGCTCCACATGTGTTCGTGTGTAAAATACGTATATTACATGCAACATTAATATAGGCAAGGTTGTCCATGCTCTCCTCAATGCGGGGCAAAGCTCTAAGCAGGTTTTACTGCTGCAGGGAGAGACCTGAGACCTGAGAACGAGGAGTCCGTGGCTCAGGACGGCGGCAGCACCTTCTCTCCACTAACTGCCGTCCTGCGGGCTGGGTCCACCAACTGAGGCAGAGGGGAACCAGGGGTGTTGTTCCCACACCGCTGCCCCAGCGAGAGCTGCTTCCACGGGCAGCCACACAGAAGCGCCCGTGCCTCTCAGCAGCGTGTGTCCAGGCCTGGTCTCAGCACCTGTGCACAGGGTCAGCGGGCCAAGGCCCTGCGCCATGGAGAGGACATTGAAGAGGAACTGCTAGTATGCTTATAACAGCCGCAAGGCCAGAACATCCTGTGCAAATGTGCACATCAGTCTCCAGGGACAGTGAATTACCAGGTCTCTGAACTCTGTCCTCTAAACCTGAGAAGAGTGTGGTGTCAGTCAGCCACAGAGCACCGCACCAGACCCAAGAAAGACCAGTGCTGAACAACTCAGCACGGGGGATGAGCTCTGTACCGCAGCCATAACAGTCAGCAACTGATCTCAGGACAGAGTTCCATGGTGCAACAGCCACAGAACCTCTCCTGCAGCACAGATGGTCTGTAAAGCCACACAAGGCAGAGACGGGACCAACACTGGATGTGGATGTCATGTCTGATAATCTACACATGCACTTACACAGGGAAAGGGGAAAGACTGTCATTTCCATCACTGATGAGTCTGTGGGAGCAGAGGACCCTTCTAAGCTCAGGTCAGATTCCGTGGTGGCAACATTCTTGCCAACGCCACAATCCACATGGTACAAGGCAAAGACCGAGATCTGACCAACGTTCAGTGTGGATGTCGTGTCTGATAATCCCACACAGGTTCATACAGAGGGAGGAAAGGGTTGGTGACATTACAGAGAGACCAGAGAAGCCTCTCAGCAAACTGTGAAATGACTTGGGAGAGCCTAGAAAGGACAGGCTCTTGGGTTTTCACCTCAGCCTGGGGCAGAGGAAGGTGAGTTCCTCCTCTGCACACACAGCAGGTCAGAACCGATCACTGAATGCATGAGAGGGGAAAACCTGCACTCCCTTAATCCATGTCCACCAGTGACACACAGGGAAGGGAGAGAAGTGAACTTGGTGCTGCCAGAGGCTGACGTTAAAATGTAGACTACACGCTCATTCCTGTGACTGCACTCGTACTCCATATGACAGCAACAGCGTGAAATAAAGATCTAAAGGCACAAAGAGATTGCTGGGAAACACCTCTTCAGCAACATGAAATAATGCAATGAGTAAAGATTCATTATAAGGATAGTAGTGATAATGTCTCTAAAATGATTTACTATCCATGGTGTATCATCCAAACAAATGTCTCAAGGAAACAACAAAAGACAAATCTAGAATCCAGTGAAATAGTGATAAGAAGACCTGCATTGAGAGTTCTCTAAAAAGATAAATAATCTGGGTGCTGGTGGCTCTCATCTTTAATCCTAGCTACTCAGGAGGCTGATATCTGAGGATTGTGGTTCAAAGCAAGCTCAGGCAGGAAAATCTGTGAGACTCTGATCTACAATAAACCATTAGAAAACCAGAAGTGCAACAGGGGCCCAAGCAGTAGAGTTCTTGCCTTGAGTTGAAGAGCACAGGGACAGCGCCCAAGCCCAGAGTCTAAGCCCCATGACCGACAACAAAAAAGACAAATATTGATGTACAAGATAATATGCTTATATCAATGAAATGCAAATCAATCCCACAGTGAAATATCAGCTCACCTAAGTCAGCATGACTGTTATCACAAACATGGAAAATATAAATGCTGGTCTTCTGGTAGAGAGTGAGGAGGAGTTCTGCTCAGAATGCAAACTCCAAAGTTTTATGTTGTTTTGTGGGTACTTTTTACACATTTAATTTGAGGAAGGGCCTGAGATTAAAGTAAAGGTTCAACAAGAGAAGAACAGATAAAGGAAATGGGAAAGGTGTGGACAATGGAATAGAACTAACCCACAGAATGGAAGAAAGACTGTCATTAGTCATACCTCTAAAGGAAGTTAGCTTAAAGGAAATAAACCAACCATAGAATCCCCAGAATCACAATATGTCTAGAAGAAATAGACTGCACAGAACAGAAAAGGAAGTGTTGGTTACTAGAGAATGAGGAAGGATGGAGGGAGGACATAGACGGAGGTTGGAAGTTGGGTACAAAATTGCATGAAATAAGGAATCAAACGATTGATAAAACAATGTGAAGAACATGAAAATAATTTATCAACAGTTACCAAACCAATGTTTACCTATGAGCAGTGTATGTTACATGTAGTGACTCACTGAAGTTATGACAATATACAATATATATGAAATTGTCACAAATGTACAATACATATGACTGACAAAAACAAACAACAAAGATTGACAGTGACAAATAATACACCAGAGTCCACTATCAAGCATCTGCCTGAACCCTGGCCATCTTGGTTGGTGGTCAGAATGAAGTAAAGTGCGGCAAAGCCACACCTGATCTCGGCTCAGGAAGGAGGCTCTGTGAGCTCACAGATGAGCTCCATTCTCCTGAAACACACCAGGAACTGTGGGCCCTCCTTGGCTGTGCAGGCCCAGACCAGGCATGGAGCTCATACCACAGGAGACGCTGCCAGTGTGGAAACACATTCACCATTGTTTTCACTCTTGCGTGTGCACAAGGAGGTCACAGGCGTGTTGCACTTTGTGTTTTGTGTGTGATCAGCAATGCTGACAGAACGATCACCAGGCACAATGGCAGAGTGAGAGGACATGTGTGTCCCTCTGCACCCCAGACAGCTCTCAATGTCCTCACACTCTGCCTCAGGCTCCTATGAACCTGCAGGCACAGTGTGAACCACAGTGTGTGGTTAGTGTGTCATGATGTCTCCAAGGTGACCATTGTCACCAAACTCCTCCAGCATAGTCAACTCTGCTCTGGCAGCCCAATCTATAGACTTCCCCCCAGAGCTGCTTTATAGCAGAGGACATGCAAATAGGACGTCCCTCTGCCCATGAAAACCAGCCCATCCCTGACCTGAGCTCTGTGAGCTGATTCCACTAGTGACTGAGCACAGACCACCACCATGGAGCTGGGGCTGCGCTGGGTTCTCCTTGTTGCTCTGGTGAAAGGTGATTTATGAGAAGCAAGGGATACTGAGTGTGCAAATGGACATGAGTGGGAGGAACAGTGGATGTGTGTGACCATTGCTGACCTGGATTCTCTGTGTTTGCAGGTGTGCAGTGTGAGGTGCAGCTGGTGGAGTCTGGGGGAGGCTTGGTGCAGCCTGGGGGGTCCCTGAGACTCTCCTGTGTAGCCTCCGGATTCACCTTCAGTAGCTATCACATGAACTGGATCCGCCAGGCTCCAGGGAAGGGGCTGGAGTGGATTTCATACATTAGTTATAATAGTGGTACCAAATACTACACAGACTCTGTGAAGGGCCGCTTCACCATCTCCAGAGACAACAGCAAGAGCACACTTTACCTGCAGATGAACAACCTGAGAGTGGAGGACACGGCCGTCTATTACTGTGCTAGAGACACAGTGCAGGAAATCCAGTGTGGGCCAGACACAAACCTCCCTGCAGGGCGCTCTGCACCAGCAGGGGGCGCTGGGCACACACTGAGGTCATGCTCAGTCAGCACCAGCAGGGGGCGCTCGGCCCAGCTTGGAGCCAGGTCAGCTCAGGAGCAGCTGCACACAGAGCCCAGGGCTGCTCTTCTGCTGTCTGCCCTGCCTCTGTGTCCACAGTGTGACAG